GTCAGGAGTTAGAGACCAGCCTGACCAACATGGAGAAACCCTGTCTCTACTAAAAATACAAAATTAACAAAATTACCCGAGCATGGTGGCACATGCCTGTAATCCCAGCAGTTTTTAATTTCTTATGCCTACCCTTTCATGCCACACCCGGATAAATTCCTCTGCAAAAGCTGAGTCACAATACAAACATTTGCTTTTTTTAAAAAAAGCAGGTCACGTGGTTATGATAGGTCTCATCTAATTCTCCATGGCCATTTGATTCATTCACATGGTTTCCTTTCAGCCTTTTTTTCCCACTAAGATGGAGTCTTGCTATGTCACCCAGGCTGGAGTGCAGTGGTGCAGTCTCGGCTCATTGCAACTTCTGCCTCCCGTGTTCAAGCAATTCTCCCACCTCAGCCTGTCAATTAGCTGGGATTACAGGCGTGTACCACCACTCCCTGATAATTTTTGAATTTTTAGTAGGGACAGGGTTTCACCATGTTGGCCAGGTCTTGAACTCCTGACCTCGTGATCCACCCGCCTCAGCCTCCCAAAGTGCTAGTATTACAGGCGTGAGCCACCACCTAGCCACCTTTAAGCCTATTTTTATAGCTCAAAACTATTATACAAACTGGGGTTGTCATATTACTGTTTATGTTACTTTGTATTTTTCTTTGAAACTTTGTACCTGTTACTTGTGAAATTTCTGCAAAAGTATGATTCCTATCAAAATGATGTTGTCCCTGCACTTTGAGATAATGGCCAAAAGACTACAGAACAGAAAAAAAAAATTACGCTTAACAGTAGACTTCAGGTAGACTTAGCCTAAATGTCACTTCCTCTAAACCTTAGATGCCTTGTTGCTCAAATGTGGCTAAGAAAGTTTTGACACTGACTTCTAGTTACCAATCATTCCCTTCAGACCAATATCCCAGGACAAGTCCATCACATCACTGAGGAGCAATCGGATCATAACTGCAGGATGATTCAACAGGATGGTTTTTTCATCAGCCTTTTTTTTTTTTTGGACACTTTAAAAAAAAATGTTTTGAGACAGGGTCTCTCTGTTGCCCAGGCTGGAGTGCAGTGGTGCAATCACAGCTCACTGCAGCATTGACCTCCTGGGCTCAGGTGATCCTCCCTCTTCAGCCTCCTGGGTCGCTGGAACCACAGGCATGTGTCACCATGCCTAGCTATTTTTCATTTTGTCGTAGAGAGTCTCACCATGTTGCCCAGGCTGATCCTGAACTCCCGGGCTCAGGCAATCCGCCTCCTTTAGCCTCCCAAGGTGCGGATGTTCCAGGCATGAGCCACGGCACCCAACTTCGAAAAAAGATTTTAATCAAAAGCGAGAAATATAAAAGTTGTTAGAATCAAAATGGAGTCACTTGTGTTAAATAAACTCTTAAAAAGTAAAACTGAGGAAGACTGTAAAGAAAGGGTTCTCACACACAAATGTCTGATAAGAAAACCTATCACAAAAGACTACAAAAACACAACTTATCCAAAGCCATTGCAATGTTACCAAAAAGAATGCTTCTGCTAGGACATCTGTTCAGCAACTGCCTGTCCAACCCTGGACTGATACCACCCTTCTTATTGATCCTTGTAGTCAAGAATAATTATCTTAAAACAATTATGTAATCTTCCTCATTATTTATTCCTTTAAAAACTTTCATCTTTCTTTGCCTCCCTGAATCCTCACATACTTTTACTGTGACACATGTATCCCCATCACAATGCTGAGTCCCAAGTAAGTGATATTTGATTTTAGAGAGTCTCCCTATCTGTGTGTTATTCAGATTGATGCCCTTACCTTAAACCTAGGCAGGTTCAAAGAGTTCACCTGAGTAGGTGGGGAGGTTGCACCTAATAATCTTCCTTACAAGTGCAGAGCACAGGGAGTTTTCAGAGGGAATTCCCATCTGTCTGTCATTTCAAAGATGAGGAAGATGAGGAAGCTGAAGACACACTTGACTAATACCAAAAAGAAATCCAACTCCTAGCCTAGGCTCGGGAAAGGGGTTCCAACAACAGGGCCTGCGTAGTGCTGGACAGGATCTGGTGACATGGGCAATCTATTGGACCTCAAGGAAACATCCAACCAGTTGCTGTCACCATGGAGGAAGAGGCAAAGCCAGGAAGCACCAGGAGTAGAGAAAACATGGTGACAGCTACGCAGATAGCCTGCTGGATGACACTGAGGACCGGGTGGGTCTGAGATGCACATCTGTCTGAAACACATGGGCCATCCATAGTTTATAGCATGTCAATATATATTTGCCCAGGAAGACAGAGACTTTATTGTCAGCACATGAACATCTAGTGTAAGTAGACCAATTTTTTTTTTTTTTTTTTTTGAGAGACAAGATGGAATCTCACTATGTTGCCTAGAATGGAGTGCAGTGGCTATTCATTGGCGCAACCATATCATACTACAGCCTCAAACTCCTAGGCTCAAGCGATCCTCCTGCCTCAGCCTCCTGGGTAACTGGGACTGATTGCAGGCACCCACCACCACACCCAACTATTAGACTTTGTTTTCTCTTGAGCTATAATAAACTAAGAAATGCTATAGAAATGATTGCTACTCTCATAATAACTATATTAAGCTTTTAGAAAGAAATGTTTCATGTACGACTATTAGAAAATTCAGATAAATACTAAATACATACACATATATGTATATACGTACGTGCATCAGAAAAAGGAATTAAAATAAAACAAACTACCACTCACAAATAATCACTATTAGTATTTTGATGCTTATCATTTCACACTTTATTCTATGAGTGTGCATGTGTGTGTAAATATATATTTAAAATTTTTGATAGTGTTCAAGTATAAATAGATATTTTGATTACAGAATGCTCTCATACTATACTGACTTTTTAATAACCTGCTTCTTTTTTTCTATAACCATACATGGTAAACATCTTTGCATTTAAAAAAATCTGACCACATTTTAAAAAAACTTTCTTATTAAAAAATACAACATGCATAAAACTGAAGTATTCAGTGTAATGGAATAATTATAAAATGAACACTCAAGGATACAGCAGCTACCTGGGATAAGATGGAGAACATGGCCACGGCACAAGGGCTCCCTCCAGGACCACCACCACCACCTTTAAGGCCACATGATCTTTCCTAAAAACACATAATGTTTGCCCCATCACAAGCATGAACCACAGTTCATTCAGTGTAACGTCTCAAATTGATGGACATTTTGAGTGTTTCTGCTTTCTGCTGGGGTGAATATCCTGTAAGTACTTCCACATACCCATTTATATCGTTCAATGATTTCTTTGGTTAAAGTCAGAAGGGAAATCTCTGGTTCAAAGGAGTGCATATTTTTAAGGCTTTTAATACGCTGTTGCAAGTTGCCTTTTTACAGGCAGTAGGAGGGTTGGGTCTCACCAGCCCCTCAGCCTGGTGGACGTTTGCTCATCTGATAGGTGAAAGTTAGTATCTCATTGTCGCAATGCATTTGAGTGTCTTTTTTGTTGATGAGATGACATCATTTATATCATGTAATTATACTTGTCCTCCAAGGATTACCAGTGAGAGATCCTATAATTAAAACATTTAATCTCAAGACCTTGTCCTATCTCTGTGTCCATCCACAAGTCATAAAAATCCCGTCCCACCGCTTCCCTTCCCCACTCCACATCTGGAGCCATTTATCAGCTCCCAGACTTGAAGCCAAACCTAGCTTCATTGCAAAGTCCTTGGCTGTGCTAATCGGCAGCTACCGGGGACGGAGTGAGTCACTCCCCTCTCTGAGCCTCAGGGTCCTCAGCTGACAAGGGCTTAGCAAATGAGAGAAAAATGGAAGTGGAATATAATTATGAACTCTAACTTTAATAAACTAATACATGTTGAACATCTATTATACGCCAGGTACTGTGCTAAATACACGTTTCCTTTCTGAATTTTGCAACAACACTGTGAATCAAATATTATAATCTCCATTTTACACAGGAGGAAACTGAGGCTCAGAGAGGTGAAGTGCCTTGCTCACAGTCTCACAGCTGGGAAGACTAACAGGTCTGGCTGCTTCCCAAGAATCTGCTCTTTCTAGGAGGATCCAGTGCCATCAGCATCTCTGGACAGGTATATGGAATGATGATCATTAAGTGGTGTCTGGAGCACGCTTATTAGAAAAGTTCTTGGAGAATCCCCTTTTTCCCCTATGGTAGTGCCACTGCCGTTTGTCCCATGCACCCCTCCAGAATGTGGTGAGGACTGTTCTTTGCTGAAAGACCTCCCCAGGTCTCAGGGCCCACTTTAGTTAAGCTCTGCAAGAATGAGAGGAGGCTCATTCCTCCTTTGGCTCCATTCTTTGTTTCGACCTCCTGTTACCACCAGCTTCCCCACCTTCTCCTGGCTTCTGTGAGTCTCCAGAAGAAAAGAACAAGATGAGAGGGCTTGCCATGATTACATGCCAACCCTAGACAGGGACTTCACCTACATCATCTCATGCAATTAGCAATCCAACTGTAGGAATTATGATATCCCCATTTTGACAGAGGGGAAGCTGAGCTTCAGACAGGTAAAGTTCTGGACCAAGGGTTCATGGTTAACGAGAAGAACTAAAACTTATTTAGCATGTAAGTACCAGGGATGGTTATAAACCACTTGCATGTAATAATCATAATCTTTACCACATCTCCAAAAGGTAGGGTACTGTTTTTATCATCCCCACTGTATAAATGGAAATACCAAAGCAGAAAAAAGTTAAGTAATTTGCCAAAGTTGTCCCAGGTAGTAAGGAGAGTTGGAACTGGAACCCAGGCAGTCAGCCAAGCTTGTCTCTAACCACCGGGTCTGGATGACCCCAAACCTCCATGGTTCCTTTTTCCTAAGCAACCAAGTGCTTGGGAAATGCAAAGGTTGATGGGGAAATGCTTGAAATCAACATTCTGCCTGTGTAGTTTGAGGAACCTGACACCCAGAGAGAGTGTTCCTGGCTCTGGGTCCCTGGTCTTAGGATTGCAGATCCAGTCTTACCACAATCCAGCCCACACTGCCTCTCCTCAAAGGGAGAAAGGGCATTGCCGCTGATCTCACCTCCACCCTTCCCCGTCGGTGGTGGTGGGCCAGGCTCTCTGAAAGAGTGATCATGTGTTTAATTATTAGGTGAGTAACCGTGGGAGGCTTCTTGGCAGATTATTAATAGAAGCTGAGGAAGGCGTGCGTGTTTAGCAACAGGCCAGCAGTTTGGGATGCCAGGCTGGCTTGGTCTCTCGGTTTCTAGAGTCACCTGAATGACTTGACTCATCTCCTGGCTGAGGGCTTGGCTTCTCACTTCTGAGACACCCCATTCCCAAGGCAAATTGCTGTCTTGCCTCTCTCCTTACATTCATTTACATCCTCTGTTGTCAGGCTGCCTGCAGGAACTGAAGCTTCTAGACAAAGAGACGTGGGTTTAATCCTTGCAGACTTTAGCTACATTGTCTAACCTGTTGGGACCTCAGTCTCCTCATCTTTGAAATGGGCATGCCAATATCCAACTCGTCACTAGGACTCATGGGACGATTGCCCAGCATGCACTCAGAAAGCTGCCACCATTGCGACTAGTATCATTCGGAGGCTGCCACGCTGGATCCTGCTGGCCACAGGCCCTGACAAAACTGTTCCTTTTCTGCAAATGTCTTTCCCAGGTCTTTCCCCCTCTTCTCCATGTGGTGAGTGACGGGCCTATGAGGAAGGATAATGTATTGCAATATTAGAGAGTGAGGCTCTTTTTTTATTTTTTTCAGCAGGGCTCTTGGGAAGAAACCTGACCATTTGAGCTCACTTGACTTGCAGTTTAGGGTTACTGGGCCCAAGGCAAGACACAGTCATTGCTGGCTTCTGTTTTGATAAAACTTAAGGCATGAAAGATTTGCATCAAGAATCCCAGAAGGGAAGGGGAGAAACTTAAAGGTGGAGAAGGAAGAACACTTTGCTTGCTTGAATTGGGACCAAGGTCCGGGGTTCTGTTAACAGCGGGGCCCCTTGCTCCTGCCATGGGGAGGCAGAGGGAATGCTATGTCCTCAACCCAGCTCTCTGGAGAGCCTGGTGCCCAGGCAGCAGCCCCTGTTCCGAAGAAACCCTGAGTTCCCCAAAGACTGTTACCCTATAGCATAACCCGTGAAACTTTGCCTGACACTGGTGCAGAGGAGCTGGGTGTCCACTAATGACAGAGACTGAATTTCCCACGGAGCCAGCAGAATGGGGCTGCAAGTCCCTATGGATTTTTTAAAAAGTAAAGAAAATAGATATTTCTTGCACACCTGAACGCATGGCCTCAGATCCCTGCCCACCACCCCTGTGTCGGGATCCCTGCATCACTGCAAGGGCCAGCGTACCAGTGCGTGAAGCTTCCGGGTAGAAAACAGATCTTGAGAACAAACGTCCATGATAACAGAGTGGCTGCAGTCCCGCGAAGGAGTAGCCTCCGATGGCTGGACCTGCGCCGTCTAATACAACAGCCGGTAGCCACCACGGGTCTGTGTTTAAATTTGTTCAAAGGAAATGAAATTTAAAATGAGCCACGTTTCAAGTGCTCAGTAACCCAGGTGACCAATGGCTACTGAGACTGGCCAGCGCACAGTTCTGTCATTGTAGACGTTCTATTAGTCTACTGCTGTGTTTGTCTAGACAATCCTATCTAGAGTAAGTAACACAGGACAATTGCCCAAAAAGCACTGGGGAAAAACTTCCTTTACTCCTCTGGACAACAGGTGAAGACTGTGTCTGTGTTCAGGGACAGTTTAAACGATTTCTAACAGTCCATGTGGAGGAAGAGGCCTACAGTTACGCACGGGGGTGGATATACTTGGTGTGGGGGAAGAATGTGTGTGCAGATAGCTTCTACCTGGCAGGCGTGGGAAGTTTGTGGACATTTTGTTCTTCAAAACACATCTGTAGGCCCCTCCTTTGGAGGCCTTCCAGGCTGGTCTCTCGCGCCAAGTCTCCATTGCCCATGTGTCCCAGCCTCTCAGGAGGACTCTGAGAAAGGTATTTTGGAAGAGCAATGTCACATGTAAGCCCCATTTTCTATTTGCAGGCATGCCTCTCCTCTGTGGGGGTTAGCTCTTTGAGAAACATTTCCTGGTCTCCAGTGTGTCCCAGCATCCAGAGCTTGGCCGTACACAGTAGAGGCTTAATAAGTGTTGATGAGCTGAGTGGGCACGTCGGCAGATGGCAGGCTGACTTTGGGTGGCTGCCTTTGACCTCCAACAAAACTGGGTGTAAACATCTTCTCCAGACGTCTTTGTGGCTCCAACCCCCAACTCTGGGCACAACGGGATTCCTAGATTCCGTGATTGCTTTCCTCGGTTCCCAGAATGGTTCTGGTATCGTAGGTGGAGGAGCTGAGGGATCCATTACCAGAAAGCGGGGCGGGGGGCGTGGTTGGGAAGCGGAGGGCTCAGACAGAAACTCAGTAGACAAAGTGGAAGAGGAAAGCCTCATGTGGGACGTTTGGGGTGGACAGGCCCTCTGTCCAGCGATTTCCCCAGCAGTGGTGGGAAGCAAGTACCAGGCAGCACCTCTCTGTGTGGCTGAGACTCTAAAAATTTGTGCAGGGAGAATACAATGGAATATTTCACATGTGTCTTATATCCAAGCAACAGAAATTCCATTGCGAATACGTGCTGGAGAAGCCTTTTATGAAGTTCCCTAGGGCAAGATAGGAGGAGGAGCCAGGACCAGGAGTCAGCCCCAGGCCTGGAGGGTAGGCCCTGCTCTGGGTGACCCCCTAGGCAGCCAGGTGACATCGCATCCACGGGCCTTGCTCAGCCCCCATCAGCTCTGCTGGTGGCATCTGGGGGCTTCTCTGCAGAACGCTGGTGCAGGGCGCTGTTCTTCCCGGTGGCCCAGCCCGACAGGTGTCTCCCTGGCTTCTCTGACAGCTTTGCCACCTTGCACCTGCTTGCCCGCTTGCTCAGTCACGTCCCCCTCGTCGGCCACGTTCTCCACGCAGCTGCGTCAGCCTCCCAAGATGCAGGTAAGCCTTTGGCCTGGGGCCAGCGTCTCTGGCCTGGCTTACCTCCTGTGGGAGTGACTGTTAGCATTGCTGCCTCTTCCCCAAAAGAAATCCCCTATTTTCACCCTTGGGCACTCGTGTACTTCACGCACTACCAACAGTTTCTTCTCTGCCTTGAAGCATTTACAGTTAAGATATCCACTGGTGTTGATCGAAATGCTTGTTTCAGTAAACTTGTAAGGCCGCCTCCATTCATTTATCATGCGTTAAGTCAGCTCAGGGCTGGTCTGTCCAACAGTGTGACCTGCTAGGAGCAGTGTCAATTCCACCGAATGCTCAAGGTCGGGGTGTAGACAGGAGCCTCGGCCTTTGAGGTCTGAGGAGGAGGTGGGCGGGCACTCACCATTATAATCGTGGCTTATGCTTAGTGAGAGCAAATCCTGCGGCCCGCCCTGTTCTCAGTGCTCTCGGGATTGAAAGCCTCAGCACAGTCTTCTGAGGAAGATGTTGCTATGCTAGCAGTTTTGTAAATGAGGAAAGCGAACACAGAGCTTAAGTGAGAAAAGTGTCACATCACAGAGCTTGTAGTAGTTTGCTAGGGCTGCCAGAATGCAGAGCGTGGGCTCAAACAACAGAAATGGATTCTCCCACAGGTCTGGAGGCCGGAAGTCCGAGATCAAGATGTCGGCAGGGTTGGTTTCTTCTGAGGCCTGTGATTGGCTTGTAGATGACTGTCTCTTCTGTGTGTCTTCACATGGCCTTCCCTCTGTACCTGTGGCCAGGTTTTCTGCTAAGGACACTAGTCACATTGGATTAGGTCACCCTAGTTATCTCATTTTAACTTGAGGACCTCTGTAAAGACCTGTCTTCCAATACAGTCACATCCTGAGGTACTGGGGGTTAGGGTATCATCCTGTGAATTTTTGGGACACAGTTTAGCCCATACTATAAGCTAGTAGGTGACACAGCCAGGATTTAAATTCAGGCTGATGGGCTCTGAATCCACGTGCTGCCTCTCAGAGAGACTTCCCATCCTGGGTAAAAGGGCTGCAGTGATTCTCTTCCCCAGGATGGGAGAATTTCCCAGAGTCAGGGTAGTGTGGGGAGTGAGTGGGAGACTGTTGACGCCCTCCAACCTCCCTTGACAGCCCTCCAAGCCCTGGGCACCCCACACTCCCTGGATGTCCCAAAGCCCCAAATGCATTCTCCTTACATGTCCAGGGAATTTCCTTCTTCTTTAGAAGAGACAGGGAGACCTATGAAGAAACGACTCCCTTCTCTGCCAGGCACCTCTCTGGGCACTTCCCCAGGGGACCCACCCATTTTAAATAATGACCCTGGGAGTTAGTGATTGTTATCCCTGGGGAGGAAATGGAACCAAGCTCTTTATCATCCTGCCTTTCTCCTAAATCTCAGAGACATCTCATCAGGGAATATTCTAGCTAGAAAGTCCTTATCAGTTATGGGATCCAACAGTTCTGTAGATGAAAACAAGAATGCTCAGAGAAGGATGTTATTTATTGGAGTCACAAACCGGATTAAAGTCAGAGGCATGACTTTAACTGTATGACTATGAACTATAAGAATATGGCAGCAGAGACTCTGTCTGTCTTAGTTACCCTGGGTCCCCAGGATGGAGAATCAGATGACCACAGAGGAAACCCTTTCTACATAATAGTTTTAAGAATTAATAAATAAATTACTCATCAATGAATACATTAATTCCCAGCTCAGGCACTTGTTTTGGCCTCAAATAAAGAAATAATGAGTTGTGTTCAATCTTCTCTTCATCTTTCATAATAGAACAGCAAATTTTAACAGATAACTAGCCCAAATAAATACTTCCCAGTTTGCCTTGCATGTGACTATGTTTTGGCCAATGCAATCTAATTAGAAGTGGTTGAAATGTTCTAGAAAATATGCTTAAAGAAAAAGCATGTACAAGTTAATTTGTTTCTTCCTTTATGCTGGCAAGAGTGAAATGCAATGGCTGGAGCCCCAGCAGTTACCGCGGACCATGAGGTGACCTTAGGCATGAAACCAGTGCGGCACAGAACAACTGAGAGAAGGAACCTGATTCATCGACATTCTGGGGCACCATACCAGCCCAGACAGCTCCTCAGAATGTCTTGGACACAACAGAGAAGTAAACGTCTATGCTGCTTAAACTACCGTTGTTTTTTTTTTTTCTATTACTCGTAATTAGACATAATCTAACGAATACAAGTCTCTAATGAAGGTGCCCTTTAGAGGCCACATAGATTAGTCAAGAGCTCAGAACGTAAATCCAGATGCACTTGCTAAGGGTATGACCTTATACAAGCAACTTCACCATCTGGAATCTCAATTTACTCATCTGTAAAGTGGGGTTAGTAACAGCATTTATCCTCCTCCTTGGCGCTCCCTACAGAGGTGGCAGCCATCTCTTCCTCAGCATCATGGCCATCCTCAGATCTCTTGTGAAGCCCAAGATGGTCAAAAAGAGAACTAAGCAGCGCATCCGGCACCAGTCAGACTGATATGTCAAAACTGAGTGTAACTGGCAGGGACCCAGAGGTATTGACAACAGGGTTAGTAGAAGGTTCAAAGGCCAGATCTTGATGCCTAGCACTGGTTATTGGAGCAGAAAAAAAACAAAGCACATGTTTCCCAGTGGCTCCTGGGAGTCCCTGGTCCACAACGTCAAGGAGCTGGAAGTGCTGCTGATTTGCAAAAAATCTTACTGTGCTGAGATGGCTCACGATGTTTCCTCCACGAACTGCAAAGCCATCATGGAAAGATTCGCTCAGCTGGCCATCAGAGTCACCAACTCCAATGCCAGGCTGCGCAGCAAAGAAAATGTGTAGACAGCTCATGTGTATGTTTTGTGTTTAAATAAAGCTGTAAAAACTGCCCCAAAGAAATAATAATACCATTTATCCCATGAGGTTGGTATAATCCACCGTGTGGATAAAGGGAGATACATCAGGTAAAGTACAAGCACATAACTCGCTGTGAGGCCCAGGCAGTGGTGTGCTCAAGAAAGATCTTGTCTTTAGCACCCAGGGCCCAGCATAGGACTGGGTTGGGATCAGTTTTCATCGGATGATGATGATGATGGGGATGCTTTACTTACTGTCACAAGTGGCTGTGAGTCAACTTGGCCTTGACTGAGGGGCAGCCCAGGAGTCCTGGATGAACCTTCATCATGAAGCAGAGGGCTGCCAGGCAGAAAAAGGGACAGTGGGAACTTCCCTGATGACCCAGCCTTTACCAGCTTGGAGGGTTTCGTGGAAAGGTGGGCTGACCATTCCACCGCGCGGCAGGAATGAGAACAAAACGAAACGAGCTTTAATTGTGAAACCATGTCCATCCAAATTAAAGAGTTCTACCACTATGGCCCCAACTAGGTTCCAGCACTTCAAGTTAAGGAATAAACAGAAATCAGATCCAGACACGTTTCATTTGGGAGCGTTTGTTCTGCCTCATAACTGTTGTTTAAACGGGCAAGAAATTCACTCAGCCAGCTTACTAGCTCTGCGACCTTAGGAAGAAACCATTTAAACTCTCTGAGCCTTAATTTTACCACTGTGCAATGGGGGTGGTAGCAACTGCCTCAAAAGATGGGTAAAAAGAAGGGATTAAATAGGTTGTCTCACAAACAGTCAGTACTTAATAAACACCCCCGTCCCTTCCCTTTCCCCCAGAGCCCCACAGCAGAGCCTAGAGAACCAATGCCATGCGAACTGGATACACAGAATTTCTTTCAAGAGTAAAATGCAGGCTGGGTACAGTGGTTCACACATGTAATCCTGTAATCCCAGCCCTTTGAGAAGCCAAGGCAGGAGGATAAGTTGACTCCAGGAGTTTGAGACCAGCCTGGTGGACCCCATCACTACAAAAAATACAGAAATTATCTGGATGTAGTGGCGCATGCCTGTATTCCCAGCTACTGGGGAGGCTAAGGAGGGAGGATGGCTTGAGCCCATGAATTTGAGGCTGCAGTGAGCTGTGATTGTGCCACCGCACTCCAGCCTAGGTGACAGAGCAAGATCCTGTCGCCAAAATAAAGAAATAAAATAAAAAGCGCAAATGCAGGAGAACATTTGTGGGTGCCACAGAATATTCTGACGAAAGGTGAGCCAGTCAGGGGTCGAGCTCCTGCCAGGTGAGAGTCCCTCCAGGTACAGCGGGACCTTGTGGGAAAGCTCTGACCGTGACCTGGTCCACCTCACACCAAAGACAAATGTTTTGATGTTAATTAAATAATGCAAAAGTGGTCATCTATTTTAATGTTCTTTAAAATTAAGTATTGGAAGTATTTTCTATTGTCATTTTTGATGGAATCTGAGAAATCAGAGGAAGCAAGATTGTGATGGGGTTTAAATATCTGTCTAGAATTGCTAAGTGGATTTCACCTCTCCTGCATGACGGCCAATGGGCAATGGCTGTCTGGAGCATGCCATTGAGAAGAATTCTCCATGTCGTAGGGTAGACTAGTGATGTCTAGGGTAGAATAGCAATGTCCACCCTAAGCATAGAGAAGAAATGTGACATGTACACATGGTTAGGGTATTTGCCATTCCTGAATTAGTTCTTTTGCCCCATCTGGCTCAACCTAGACTATATGAACATAACCAGTTGTCTAATGAGGCTAGATAATAGCTAGGTAGTTGCTCAGAGATCTCTCCTTGGTGGAAGTCTCCACTAGGCAGAGCTGAAAGTGAAAGATATATTAACACATGGAGCCCACATGGTTACTCTGAACTAAGCACAAAATGCCAAGCACTTTACATGCCTTATTTCTAATCCTCCCAAGAATTATCTAAGTTGGGCACAAGTGTACCCATTCCATAGATTAGGAAACTGAGTTCTCATGAGCTTCAGTGATTTGCCTGGAGTTACCCTTAACTGTCGAGCATCAGAGCTGGAAACTGCTCCCTTATCATCTAACACAGAAACCCACACTGTCTTCCCTTGGGCTACACTGTGTTCCCAGGAAGGAAAGGGAATGGACCACCTGACTAGGTGATGGCTGACGGGAGCTCTCTTGTTCCTCTGCTATGCTGTGTTGTCTGGACAATCTCCTCGGGTCTCTGTTTGGCTTTGACTCTGGGACACAACCTTGGCTTTTGTCACAGACAGCTGGGTGTGTCCTCCAGTTGGGCAAGGTGGGGAAAGCCTGCGTTTTGCCCCAGACAGGTCAGCTCAGGCCAGAAGCACGTTCTTCATGGACTCACCTTGAGAAAGCTACTTCTCTGCGGGCAGAGGCAGGGCCGGGTGCTGACTCAGGGCTGGCTGCACGGTCTGGGGGTGCTGACTCAGGACTGGCTGCACGGTCTGGGGTTGCTCATTCTCGAAGAGCTGTGAGTGTCGGCCAGCCCTTTCCCTGTGAGCGGAGAATCTGAGGGGTCTCTCCAGGCTCCTCCTTGGAGCGCAGGAGCCATTCCTCCCCTCTGCACGCCTCCATCTCCACAGTGACTTCGAGCGAACTTTGCAAAGCTTTCAGTGTTTATCAAGTAACTTTGAATAGGAAATATATTTCAATAGCTTACAAAAAAGCAGTATCAAAAGTGGCACAGGAAAAGTTCTTATTCCCATTTTTGCCCCCATCCACTGAGTTCCCCGCCCCCCTGTACTAACCACCTTTATTACCTTCCTGAGATTCCTACAGAAAACAAACATGTATGAAGGCATATACTTATCACCACCCACTTCCGTCATACAAAGTAACATACCGTAAACACCTCTTGCATCCCATGTCAAGTACCAATATATCCCAAATCTCCTATAATATATAAAAATATTTTTGTTTTTTGGTGTCTACATATATTCCGTTGAATGGATATACTAGGATTATTTAATTAGCCTCTTCTTGATGGATGTTACGTATGTTTCCAAATTTTTACTACAAGCAATGCTGCAATAATTTGTCACTTAGTAACTGAACAAGTTTATCAGTTGGATAAATTCCCAGAAGCGAGATTGATTGCTCAAAGGGTATATATGTTTTTATGGCTTTGCAATTGTTCCAAAATTGCCCTCCACAGAGTTTGTGCCAATTTACACTCTCACCAACCACTTACCAGTTTCCACCCAACCTCACAAACAGAATGTTTTGTCAATGTTTAACATTTTTACCAATCTGATAGATGAAAAATGGTATCTCTGTATTGTTCTAATTTGATTTTCTCTTACATGTGTCCTTCTGTATTTAAAAACCATTTATGTTTTTTACTGTGAACTTTCTATTCATGTCTTCTGCCTTTTTTCTTTTTAGTTATTACTTTTTTTATTATATCTGAGAGCTCTTTACATATTATAAAGATTAAAAGCTTCAGCTGTAATATGACTTGCAAATATTTTGTCATTTGATTTTGCCTTTTGATTTTGCTAATGGTTTTATTTTGCTAGCTAGAAATTTTTAAAAATGGTATGTTGTAAAATTTATAAATCAATTCTTTTATGAATATTGGATTCTGAACCATTAAATAAAATTTCATACCCCACATTTTCTTCTAATATTTTTATAGTTTGAAATTTTGTACTTAACTACTTTATTTATTTGGAGTTTATTCTAGTGTATGAAGTGAGCTATGTTTAGACAGATATTCAGTTGACCTACTATCCTTTATGAAATACCTTTTCTCTGCTGACTTAAGATATCACTTTTATCTTTTGTTCTATATTATAGAATGTATCTTACTGTATCAATGAACTTTCTCTCCTGTTCCACTGGACTATTTATATCACAGTGCAATCCTAATTTAATTAATGGTTAATTAAATTCATTAATTATTGAACTCCATGACATATTTTAATATCTGATATGACTGGACCCCTGGTCATTGTTCTTTTTGTTTAGATTTGTCCTGTTTTCAATATGAACTTTAGAATCATCTAGTCTACATTTCTTTTTTTTTTTAAGACAGAGTCTCACTCTATCACCCAGGCTGGAGTGCTATAGTGCAATCTCGGCTCACTGTAACCTCTACCTCACAGGTTCAAGCAATTCTTCTGCCTCAGCCGCCAGAGTAGCTGGGATTACAGGAGCCTGCAACCATACCTGGCTAAGGTTTTGATTCCTGTACAGGAATGCTTTTAGTAGAAACCAGATTTTGCCATTTTGGACAGGCTGGTCTCAAACTCCTGACCTCAGGTGATCCACTCACCTCGGCCTCCCAGAGTGCTGGGATTACAGCTGTGAGCCACGGCACCCAGCCCATCTAGTCTACTTCTAAAACCAAAACCAAAACTTAATAATTTTGTTAAGATTACACTAAAT